GACGCTCGTGCCTCAAGATCTAGCTCTTCCCAATCCTCGTCCGACATATCAACGTGCTTCTTCTCCTTTCCCGCCAATGCCTTGTGCAACTTTTGAGAAATCAACAAATTTTTCATTTGCATTCTCCAATATGAAAAATCATTCTTCCCATTGAATTTTTCTATCTCATACTTCCCAATCTTCACCATTCCTCTAGTAGACATGATTTACTCACTTGTTTACCGAAAATAAATCACAAAAGTTCACTTGGGAATTTTCACAAACACCTTGTGCACAACAAAGTTCAAGCAACTCACCACAAAATCGAAGCTTAACCACCTTGATTTTGGAAGGAGCTCTGATACCAAATTGTTGGGAAAATACCTCCCAATGAATGCCCAAAGATCAAACTAAGTTGGCAAAGTGAAAATTTCCAATATGCTTGAAGAACAAGAAAATGAGGAAGAAATGAATCCAATGGAATATATGATAATCAATGTGTTAGGATTACTTGAACAAGCCTCAAGTTAATCCCCAAGAAAGAAAATACCTTTGAATTTATACCCAAGATGAACAACCTTCTATCTTGTAAAAATTCTCTCCAAAGTTTTCTCTCTTTTCTCTCTAGGTCTTGGGTTGTGTGAGTTGTATTATGAAAGAGGGAAAAAATGCATATATATATACATGCCGGGGCGCCTAGGCGCCATGGAAGTGGCGCCTAGGCGCCAATAAATCTCTCGCCATCCCTTACCATGCCCAAATGAGCATAAGCTAATAACAACGAGACCAATGTAATACTGTTAGGCAAAGTGCGACATTTCAACATCTGTTGCAAATATTCTAGGGCAACAGACTCCTTAGAATGTGCTGAAATTATTGAATTCCATGACACGGTATCCCTTTGTGGCATGCACCGAAGCCTGGACATGGCTCCTAGGCGCCCAGTTTCTGCTCCGGCAGAAACTGGGCAGCGCCTAGGCGCTGTCCATGCAGCGCCTAGGCGCTGCTTGCCTTCTCTTCCCTTTCTTCTCTTCTTGCTTCCCTCCTTCTCACAGAAACAGATATATTCCACTCAATTCCTCTACGAAAAGCTAATCCATGAATTTGAATTCCAATTTTATAGGGTAACGCGTTAGTGAGAAATGCTGATATGGTAATTGAATCAGGTTCACATCCCTCATGTGTCATCCCACGTAGTAAATCCAATGCCTCAACAGTAAGATTATGCCTCATGTACCCAATAATCATGGAATTCCATGAAACCACGTCCCTGTCCACAATTGTATCAAAAACTTTTCGAGCCTTGCTAATATCACCACACTTGGCATACATATCCAGTAGTGCATTTTGCACAAACTTATTGTTTCCACATCCAGAGCGAATCACATGACGATGAACTTCCTCCCCAGCTTCGATCATTCCAACACTCCGCAAGCCTTCAGAGCCCGTGGAAACGTGTATGCATCAGGCTCCACTCCCTCTTCCACCATCTGAAAATACAATGCCAATGCATCTTCGTACAAACCTCAGCATAACCCGATATAAGTGAATTCCATGGAAAAGCAGAGTCATTTCTCTTGGGCATTTGATCAAACACCTTGTGGGCCTTATCAAAGTCCCCATTACTAGAGAACAACCTTTGAAGCTTGGATGAAATGCCCACATTTTTAAGCAAAAGTCTTTCTGGAATGAGTTTATGAATCTTACTGCCATGATCAATGGCTTTTAAATGAAAGCAGGTTCCTAAAAGGGAAGCAAAGATATGGGGATCAGTGATTTCAACGGCAATTTTGACAGAGGCTTCTATTTTGTTAATGACGATTTCAAGGTGTTGACATACAAAAAGTTCAGTCCAAGTTGAATAGCCCAAAGAATGAAGCCCAATTAGAAGATCCCCAAAATCAAATAGCCCAAAGAACGACCCAATCAGGCAATGCAGGATAAAGGCCCAAATAAGGAAGCCCATGAATGCGGAAATACCATCGCCCAAGGTTGCAAATCGCCCAAGATTTGAGCGAATGAATTGCCATGCAGTCGCCTAGAGCTGTGACTCTGCTCTCGTCCAAACATTCGAGTCGCCCAACATCTTAGCAAACATAAGATGTTATGGTTACCCAAAAGTGCAGTTAATGAAGCAGTTATTGGGTAGTCCTATCACGTTCCACGATTCAAAGAATTCAATTGAAGACGGTTGAACGACAAAAAGTAATGGCAGCAGTTAGAGAAGGCAGTTCCATGACAAGTTGGCCACTACGAGGAAAGTGGGCAGTTATAGAGCGATCAAGCAGTTTTTAAGCGGTTGATCACGAAGAGATCATCCAGGGAGTATAAAAGGAAGAAAAGACATAGAGCAAAGGACCCCGAATCAAACACTCTCAAACAGAGAATATGTAACTTTCAATTTATTAGTTTAGATTTAAACACTTCTTTTTCAGTAACTCGTGTACTTGCGCCCCTTGGAGGCATTCTGTTTTTATTTTCCCATTGTAAAGTCATCGCCAATAAAAGCATCCTTTTTTTGGGACTTTGTCTCAAGAGGTTTGTCCCTTACACAATCGTCTGATCCCTTTTTAATTTTTAGCGACCAAACCGCGCGAAACAATTTGGACGCCCAGTGGGATAGTGGTGTTTGGTGTTGAAGATACAAAAGATGAAACAATATGCCTCACAGATCCGATAAGGAAGCAGCAAGTCAGGGATGAGTCCAGTCTGTGATCGACCGATATGAAGAGCAGTATAGCTCTCCACGAACAGATGGACAGAATCAGAGCAGTAACAGTAACAGTCGTTACGAATCAATGGCAGAGTTGAGTCCTCGAACTATGTGTGCACTACTTGGAGAACTCACACAAGATGTCGTTGAACAGGTAAATCTTCGAAATATTCATAATATAGAAAGATTTACCCAGAATGGGAATGCACATTATGACAACATGGCCAAACAACTGAATACTTTGAATGAAATAATGAATAAGTTAGTAGGCCAAATTTGTCAACCAGTTACGCCTCTTGCAAACCACTTTCAAACTAGGACAATTGTGGGACATAATACCCAGTCCTAAATCTAAGTCAAGGGGTAGAACCACATTTCGGTCCCTCTACTTCAAACCAAGGGGATAGTGTAATGCCAAATTAGAATAATGGTAGTGGTAAGCCTAACTTGGGGGGTAATCCAAATGTAAGAGATAATGTCCTAAATAATGGACAGAATACCCCATGTGTTAATGAGGGAATAAATGTTCAGGCTAATGGCAACAATGGCCCAAATCATGGTAACTTTTTTCCTAATCAAGGACCAAATATCAGGCCTCAAGCAAATCAACCGGTCAACCAACCTGTAGGGATTCCATATGACCCCAACGTTATGTTGAGGAATCAGATTATGGAAATCGTACAGGACCAGATGGCTTTTAGGGTACGTCCTGTCATTAGGCCAACTTACACAAAGCCATATCCTGATTGGGTAGACCAAGCATATCCATGGCCTAGAGGATATAAAGTGCCAGAATTCTCATATAGGACGATTCACACTGCAAAGTGGTGACGTAACTGATTATCATAAAATGAGGCTTTTCCCTAGTTCATTAACCGGAGTAGCTTTCTCCTGGTTCATCAATTTGCCAGCGAACTCTGTTCAAACATGGCAACAATTGGAACAATTATTCCACGCTCAGTTTTATAAGACTGAGTCTGAAGTTACTTTGGCCAATTTAGCGAACCTATATCAAATGCCAAACGAATGGGCAGAAGGTTTCCTCCAAAGGTTCAAAATAGCAAGAAGTAAATGTTGTGTACCTTTGCCCGAAAAAGAGTTTGTCAAAATCGCTCAAGGCCGTTTGAGCTTTGATTTGAAAAAGAAATTCCAAGACAAGGAATTTCCTGACCTTTTCCAATTAAGCGCGAATGTGATTAGGTATGAACGATTGATAAGAGAAGAAGAGCAAATAAAAAATTCTAGCAAGGGGACTTATATAGAGACCCAAATTTTGATGTTCATACCATCAATAACGAGTCATACGATCAGACCGAAATGTGTTTGGCCGAATTATTCAAAGGAGACACGTATACTTGTCCTATAATGGCTAAGCCTAGACCATCGCACAAGGATGAGCATGTGAAAGATGAAACATAAAAGGTAGAACGTTCTCGTTCGATGTAACCAAAGCTGACCTTATATTTGATAAATTATATAAGGATAAGCAGATAAAGCTGAGCGATAAGCATAAATTGCCAAACCCCGAACAAATTAAGGGTAAAAAATATTGTAAGTGGCATAATGCATGGTCACATTTGACTAACAATTGCTTGATTTTTTGCCATGTGTTACAGGATGTCATTGAATTAGGACGAATTACGCTCGATGATAGGAAGAAGATGGCAGTGGATGAAAATCCTTTTTCACAGCCGCTTAAAGTGAATATGGTGACATCTGGTTTCAAAAACAAGTTGTCAAAATTCAAATTGGTTATAGACGATGGAGAAGAAGACCCTGGACCACATCCCAGTGTTTTTGAGCATATTAAAGGGAGGAGCCGAAAAAGGATGAAGAAGTCTTGTGTGCAAAATGTAAAAGAGAAGTGAGTGGGAATACGGAGAAGCCAGGGACATGGCAGCATCCCCATCGACCTACTGTCTTCCCAAATGCTCAGCCTGGTAGAGGAAGAGGTACATCGTTCTATAAGGGACCGTCTTTTGAGGGGCAATTCAGGCCAGTAAATAAAGGGAGAACATTCAGGACGCAACCTCGCCAACCAAATGTATGGCATTCGTTCCAGTACAATGCACGGAAGGCGATACCCTTTAACGAGATGACCAGAACCCAACAAAGGCGTTTCCAACAAAATTATGGATGAATGATGAGGCAACAATAGGGAATACCACGTCCTAAGGCGCCTAAACTACTCGAAGTAGCCAATCAAAATATTCTCAAAGACAGTGAAGAGACTGGTACAGATGAATCAATGAAAGAGTTGCCAGAAACTTCTTCTGGGAGATCGAAGTTTGAACGAGACAGAAGGGATGGAGAAGATCCAGACCAACCCCTTACTATTCAGTTCGGTACGTTACCTCCTGTGCATGGCTAATAACTATTTACTAGCCAATGAGTTCAAGAATAAAGAAAAAGAAGAAGAAAGAGAGGATAACAGAGGAGAAACATGCGTGCTGGAATATAAAGAAGGCCAGACTTCTAGAGAGGCCTACAATGGTGAGGAAGATGATGAAATAACAGACATTGAAGAGGAAGTCGACCTAGAAGCAGAAAGAAGAAGGAGAAGAGTATCGTACAATACTCTGCTGAAGCAACTACATCGAGAAGGAGTTTGTGAAGTAGATTTATCGGGAGAACCATCTGGGCGTTCTTTCGATTTTTACGTGCTGTACGGGACGCCCAAAAGGAAGAAGAGAGTGCCTCGCTCTGAAAAGTATGGATGACCTCCAAGGATAATGCCTCCTCCCACAGGTTGGATAACTGAAGAGGAAGCATCAGAAAATAGTAAAAAGGGAATTCAGGAGACAGAGGCTCAGTGCGATGTGCTGCACGTTGACTTATCACAAAAGGATAACTCAAAAGAGGACAAGCATGAAGTAGAAATAGAGGCTGCCGAAAAAGTTATTTTTAAACGGCCAGCCATGAAATTGACTAAACACTTGAGGCCGTTATACGTTAAAGCTCTAGTTAATGGCATACCTGTGGCAAAAGTGCTTGTCGATAATGGAGCAACTATAAACACCATTCCATCTAGGATGATGAGGAAATTTGCAAAGACGGAAGGGGATATGATTCCAACAGAAGTCATCCTTACAAGTTTCAATGAAGGAGCAACTGCAGCTAAGGGAGTTATGCCATTGGACATAACTATAGGTACAACTAGTAGGACCATAGTCTTCTTTGTAATAGATGGTCCTACTAGTTACAATGTGTTACTAGGAAGATATTGGAGATACGAAAGTCGCTGTATACCCTCATCGTTCCATCAATGCTTGGTTTTTTGAAATAACAAGGATGAAGCAAAGGTGGTGCAAGCCGATCATAGGCCTTTTGTTGCAGAAGAAAACTCAGTAGAAAGGTTCATGTACGAAGGAAACTATGGGCCTGTCAGGGTAGTCCAAGATGGGGAAGAGACTCAAATTGTCGCGCAGAGTGAAGAGCCATTTTCAGTGGACGCACTCACTGAAATGTTCAGTCAGATGAGGCCAAATATAGTGGCCCTAGAAGAGCCAGTAATTGGCAAAAGAATAATCAAGGAGTCTTGAATGAATTCAAAGCAACAAGAGCAAATGACCAATATTCAGGCCTTCAAAGCCAAATTAATGGCTTTCAATATAGAATGCAAGGACAAGACGAAAGAAGAGGCAACCTTAAAAGCGCTGAAAGACAAATTAGCAGTAATCGAATTGGAACAAAGTATTGGCCGAGAAGTCAATAAGGTGGATTGTTTAGAAGAAGAAGTGCTTACAAGGGAGCTGGACGATGAAGTAATGCGGATCATCAAGCCTGGATACGCTCAAGTACAAGACCCTCTGATTAAAGTAAATATTGACAATGAAGGAGAAGACCGTCCAACATTCATCAGCCAGATGCTCAATTAAGAGGTTAGTGATAAATTAATCGCTTTGTTAAAGGAGTATAAAGATTGTTTTGCTTGGGAATATGAACAAATGCCTGGTTTAGATAGAGACTTGGTGGAACATAGATTACCAACTAAGCCTAATTTTAAACCTCATAGGCAACCTCCCAGACGTTTTGCTCCTAATGTACTCCCTGAGATTAAGAAAGAGATAGAGCGATTATTAAAAGCAGGCTTTATTAGAACAGCCAGGTATGTCGAATGATTGTCCAATATCGTGCCAGTACTAAAAAAGAATGGTAAATTAAGGGTGTGCATAGACTTTAGGAATATAAACATAGCCACACCCAAAGATGAGTATCCAATGCCCACGGTAGATTCTTTAGTAGACTCAACTACCGGACACGTCATGTATTCTTTCATGGATGGGTATTCAGGATATAATCAAATTTATATAGTTGAGGAAGACATACACAAAACTGCCTTTAGATGCCCTGGGTC